GTGTGTGTGTGTGTGTGTGTGTCCACAGAGGAATGCTGTGTGCACAGCACAGCAGTATCTGAGATTGTACTCACACTGGAATATTGTACTGAGGTTGGAAGGAGAAATCGTAATCAGTTTCTGTGCTGATGACTTTTAGGATTTGAGTAAGAAATGTGCATGCTGAAACAGCCTGCAAGAGAGGAAGATTATCTGGAATTTCATAGAATCATAAAATGGTTTGGGTTAGAAGGGACCTTTAAGTTTGTCCAACCCAATATATGTGAAAGCTCCACAGATGAAGCACCCAGCATGCAAATAGAAGAAGGGCTGAGATAATGCTTGTGCATTCCTGAGCTGGGGGGATAGAATGCACCTTTACCTTTTTTTTTAGGCCAGCATGGCTGAATCTGAATTTTACATAGCACACTGCTAAGTGTAATAGCTTCTGACAAATGGTTCCAATGACCATCACCACTTTCAGAGTATGAGTATTTTTAGATATTTTCTAGATTCCCTCTTTACACCCCCCACATATTACATTATCTAAGAACTTATAGGTTGGAGCACACTGTATTTATTCATCTTTTTAAGTACTGTGTATAGAGTATGGTGTATGGGGGGGGGGGTGCAGAAAGTGAAAGCTGTTTGAGTTTGCTCTAAGATACTTTGAGAGCAGATCTCAAAGCACAATATGAAACTGCAGGAGTATAGGGAGAAGGAAGCATGGATCCCAGCATCAGTGACCAGAAATCAAAACAGAGACCTCCCACAACAGCCTCAAGCTGAAATGTTGATAAATCAGTGACTAAAATAATAAAGACTTAGTGATGTCTCTGTACCGGTACTCAAACACCACATGCAGTCAGTGCTGGAAAGCTTGAGTCCAGCCATTCTGCAGTTCTTGGTGAAACCAAGTGTTGCTGAAGCCACAGCATAATGCTTGGAGATAAGGATTATTCAGATGCATTTTAGGAGGTGGTGTTAACAGCTCGGTTCTGCATTTGCAGCAATGTCTAATTACCAAAGAGTGTGGTAGATATTTGGAAAACCAAGGGCTTGGATGAAAGACTTCAAGGCTGATAATTCAGTACCTAAAGGGAGCCTACAAACAGGAGGAGAGTCAACTCTTTGAAAGGGTAGATAACAGCAAGACAAGGGGAAATGGTTTTAAGTTGAGGGAGGGAAGATTTAGGTTGGATGTCAGGGGGAAGTTCTTTACTGTGAGAGTGGTGAGGTGCTGGAACAGGCTGCCCAGAGAGGTTGTGGATGCCCTGTCCCTGGAGGTGTTCAAAGGCAGTCTGGATGGGGCCCTGGGCAGCCTGGTCTAGTATTGAATGGGGAGGTTGGTGGCCCTGCATGTGGCAGGGGTGTGGAATTCATGATCCTTGAGGTTCCTTCCAAGCCAGGCCATTCTGTGTGATTCTGTGTGCTTTAACAGGTCAGCCCACAGTGGCTACTTCTGCAGTTCTTGGTACTTAAATTAATGAGCTACAAATACTGGAAAGGTGAAGTAGCTGCTAAGTAATATTCATCTTCATTGTGCATTTACAAGGGGAAATAGTCTCTCCTATAACAGGAGAAGCTGTGCAAGTTACTGGGAAAAAAAAAAAAATCACAAATACAGAAGAAAATTGCTGAAGTAACTGTTAGAAAGGATTTCCATTTAATTAACTACCACACTTAAATACAGAGGCTTGGGTTATAGTGACAGTTTATTGGAAAGTGTAAAATAACAAAATTCTTTTACACTCTCATGCACCGCGGACACACCTCGCTTCAACTGTAACAGTTGGGACTGAGGCACCCTCAAGCGGCTGATGTCGATATTGCAGCTAAAACACCGTTGATGGAGTTTAAATGATCAATAAAACAGATACGAGTCTCTGTCAGCAATGTGAGATGTAAAAAAGCACTCTTGTCCCTTCGGTTTGCATGAACTCTTAAAACCCGAACGGAGAGGTATTGATTGGGATGTGATGAACGGTAAGGGTGCAAACGAGACAAAGACAGGGGAGGAAGAGGGAAGGGAATGGAGTCTCACCTAGAACAAAAAGAAGAAAACAAAACACAACGAAATTGTAATTAAAAATTAAGACAAATATTCCAGATAGCGGAAATACATATATTTTCTGGAACAAAATTGGCAGGTAATGCTATTTACAGAAATTATTTTTAGAAAGGATTTTGCAGATGTAAAGAAGAAACACGTACTGACAACTACACTACTTGCTTTCCGACAGGATTACAGCTCTTTCTCTGGCAAGGTGGGTGGCTCTGAAAAGAGCCTTTGGGTCCAGCAACTCAGGTACGGGAAACGGAGACAGCTTACTTGGAGCTGGTGTACTTGGTGACCGCCTTGGTGCCCTCGGAGACCGCGTGCTTGGCCAGCTCGCCGGGCAGCAGCAGCCGCACGGCCGTCTGGATCTCCCGCGACGTGATGGTCGAGCGCTTGTTGTAGTGCGCCAGGCGCGACGCCTCGCCGGCGATGCGCTCGAAGATGTCGTTGACGAACGAGTTCATGATGCCCATGGCCTTGGACGAGATGCCCGTGTCGGGGTGCACCTGCTTCAGCACCTTGTACACGTAGATCGAGTAGCTCTCCTTGCGGCTCTTCTTGCGCTTCTTGTCGCCCTTTTTCTGGGTCTTGGTGACCGCCTTCTTCGAGCCCTTCTTGGGGGCGGGCGCGGACTTGGCCGGCTCAGGCATAGCGGCAAAAAGAAGTCACACAGCAACAACCACCAACACGAGAACGAAAAGCCGAATGGGAAGGAAGTGGTCGTAGCCCATTTATTTATAGCTCCTCTATGCAAATGAGAAGTATCCCTTTCGCACTCTTTCATTGGTCAGTCCTCGAGAACACCCCTTTCCTCCTTTATAACTGTTTTTGATTGGTTCCAATTCGATTCGCCTTCTCATTGGCTGCCCACAACGGACCCAGACGTCAGCCTATCAGCGCAGAGGTGAGGAGCCTAAGCAAGAGCGTAGCCGAGTTCCGTCGGTCTCTCGCTGTGTTCCTCGCTCGGTTGCGGTCCGAGCCTTAAGCCGCTGCGATGTCTGGCCGCGGGAAGCAGGGCGGGAAGGCGCGCGCCAAGGCCAAGTCGCGCTCGTCGCGGGCCGGGCTGCAGTTCCCCGTGGGCCGCGTGCACCGGCTGCTGCGCAAGGGCAACTACGCGGAGCGGGTGGGCGCCGGCGCCCCGGTGTACCTGGCGGCCGTGCTGGAGTACCTGACGGCCGAGATCCTGGAGCTGGCGGGCAACGCAGCCCGCGACAACAAGAAGACGCGCATTATCCCCCGCCACCTGCAGCTGGCCATCCGCAACGACGAGGAGCTCAACAAGCTGCTGGGCAAGGTCACCATCGCGCAGGGCGGGGTGCTGCCCAACATCCAGGCCGTGCTGCTGCCCAAGAAGACCGACAGCCACAAGGCTAAGGCCAAGTGAGTACCGCAGAGGCAGCACGGTCTGGAGAGAACAACCCAAAGGCTCTTTTCAGAGCCACCCACAGCATCACAGGAGAGCTCAGAAATCCACAATACAGTTGTGCAGGTGTATGAATTACTCGAGCCGTACTTTTTTTTCTTTATGTTTATTATCAATATTATTTGTTGGGTAATAATAGCAACGCTTTCCATGCTTCCGTTAACAAAGTCGTGCCAAAGTGTTCTCCCAAAGGAATTTCTCCCGAGACGCGCCGTTACGCTTTCAGTTCGTATACCGCGCTAAAGGAAACCGATGCGTTCCGGGGGCCACCGTCACCGCCTGTCCCCTCCCCTCCTTCCTCCGTGCCTGTTCCTTTCTTCGACGCGGCCAAAAGCGTCGGGCCCAAGGCGGGGTCTGCGGTGGGTGGGGGAAGGGGCAGCGGGCCGGGCTCCTCGTGGCCAATCCTCGGCCAGGGCGGGCTTTTCCAACAGCAGAAGCTGCTGTTATGTCTCAGCGGGAACAAAAGAGATGGGAGAGCTAGGGGCTGTTATGGCGTCAGTAAGAAAAATCTCACGTCTTCCCCTAACACATAAAAGCTTTTAAAGAGACACTTTAAAAAGGACCAACACAATACATTAGACGTGGCTCAGTAGTAGCTTGCGCCTGGGAAATCCATTACTTTTGTTAAAAAATATATTCTTAAAAAAGTGTCACCCGATTTTTATCAAATCATTATAAAACATTTCTTCACGGTAGTCAAACCAATTACTCGGCAAAAGATACAAAGTCTACACTTCCCTAAAGCCGCCGCGTAATACCGTGCTCGTTAGGTTTCAGTAATCGGAAGGGAAAAGGCAATTGACCTCTGACGACTTACGAATTGCTGGATCCGTGCTGCAGGTTTCTGACGACCTCGGTGCCTCAGCTCCTTTAGGGAAAGTGTGGGTGGCTCTTAAAAGAGCCGTTGGATATCAAAATAGGTAGAGCAGGAACTCTTCAGGGATAACTTACTTCTTCTTGGCTGCCGTCTTCTTTGCCTTGGCTGCCTTGGGTTTGGTCGCCTTGGGCTTGGCAGCTTTGGGCTTCACCGCCTTTGCCTTGGCTGGGCTCTTGGCAGCCTTCTTGGGGCGACCAGCCTTCGCGGCCTTCTTAGGGCTCTTTGCCGCCTTCTTGGTGGCTGCGGCCGCCGGCTTCTTGGCTTTCTTGGGGCTCTTCTTCACCGCCGCCGCCTTCTTGGGCTTCTTGGCAGCAGCCGCGGGCTTCTTGGCCGCCGGCTTCTTAGGCTTGGCAGCAGCCGCTCGCTTCCTAGGAGCCTTCTCCTTCACCTCCCCGGGCTTCTTATTGAGCCGAAAGGAGCCGGAGGCGCCGGTGCCCTTGGTCTGCACCAGGGTGCCCTTGCTGACGAGGCTCTTGAGCCCCAGCTTGATGCGGCTGTTGTTCTTCTCCACGTCGTAGCCGCCGGCGGCCAGCGCCTTCTTGAGCGCGGCGAGGGAGAGCCCCTTGCGCTCCTTGGAGGCGGACACGGCCTTGGTGATCAGCTCGGTGACGCTGGGGCCCGCGGGCTTGCGGGCTTTGGCGCCGCCCGCCGCCTTCTTCGGCTTCTTGGCGGCGGCCTTGGCGCCGGGCGCGGGCGCATCGGGGGCGGCAGCGGGAGCGGTCTCGGACATCGCGGCGGAGTCCTCCGCGGAGCAGGCGAACACAATTGGGCTGGCGCGGGTCAGATGCTCGTATTTTTAGAGAGGAGCCGCGCGGTGATTGGTGCGTTGCTAAGCCCGCCCCGCTTCACGGCCGGGGAGCCCTTCGGTGTGCTCGATTTGTGTTTCTTTGGACTAACAAAAGTGTATTTTCCTCGGAATTTCTGCCACCGAATCGCCCCGTTTCCTCGGTGAGGGAGGAGAAGAGCAGGTACTTGCGTTCGGGAGAGTTTCCAGCTGCAGACACGCGTCCTGAGTTAAAGGAGAGGCGATAAATCCCGTGTGCTGCTGCTGGAGAGACCTCTGAAGAGAGAAACTTTTGTTTTTCATTGCAAATTAAAAATTTTCTTTCTACAGAAATCTTACAGCAACCACTGTATCTTATTCTTTAGAGGGTTTTCTTGCGATTAAAATCGAAATCTGACGATTTAAAGCTATTTTGACAGTTTAAATTGATTTTGAAGAGGAGGAAGTAACACAAACTCCCCTCTCAGCTCTGAATATGGATTAAGAACCGGTTCCTTTGGCCATGTGTTTTACCTCCTAAAACGCTAAACTCTGTTGAAATAGTGTCTCATACCACCTCCTATTACTCCTATTATAGAGCTGTAAACAATTTGTTACTGCCTGTGAATTCATAAAGATGTAGCTGTTTTGTTTTGTCTTCCTGAAATTTCACTAGAGGGTAGGCAAACTTCCCCTGCTGCCTTGTGCTTTTTTCCTTTGTTTGTTTCTCATGTGAATTTCTGTACCAGTTATTAAGTAAATCGATATTTCTTTTTTCCATGTTGTGTTTCTACTTCCAGTAAACAATCTCCCAGTACCCTGTATTACCAAACTGCAGCTTTCTAAACTAAAGCAGCCTTCTAAACTTCTGGTTATATTTAACGATATTACTTTTGTCTCTCTGGTCAGTTAAGATGTGGACGGCCTAATGTAGCTCTTATGTACTTCTGCTCTTACTGCCTAGAAGTATAATCTTGTTGTATTTTCTGTGATAGTTACAAAATTTTAAACAAAATTACTTTAAAAAAAAAAAAACCGACAAAAACAAACAAACCTCTTACACAGACAAAAAATTAAATAAAGCCAGTGCAGTATCTCCTTGTCTCTCTGTAAGGAAAAATGAAAGATAAAATGAACAACAGGAAGGCCCATTTAATGAAAAAAGAAAAGCCCGTTTAATTCTTTCTCCTGCATTTTACAGTCACAGTAAGGAGGAACTGTTTTCTTGACAAGAACCACAGCTCTTTGTGATAACCTGGGTTTCAGTTAGGGGAGTGGTAGGCCATAGTTCATCCCTAAGAACCAGGAAGAATTCAATCAATACTGATGTCTGGTTGGAGGTAATGAAATCTGTTGACAAGAATGGAGCTCTGGAATAATTTTTTCAGCATCTGTACCTGATTATAAAGTATGTTATCTGTTGACTTCAATGGTTACTTAAGAATGACACAAATACTGTAAAATCAACCTTGCCCTCCCATTTTCTTCGACATAACCAGATCCAACATGGAATTTAAACACTGAATTCATGCAGATACTAACAACCATGATTTCAGATTTTATGAACGTATAGTTTTAAGTTAATGCAATCCTCTTTTCTCCTCATTTTTTTTTTTTTATTTATTTACAGCCTCTATGATATCAACACTAAACATGTGTATAATGTGAATAAGTTTGTTTTCCTCAAAATCAGGCTTCATTGAGTACAAAAGTCACAACTAAATGATGTGAAGATTAAATTAGGGAAAAAAAAAAAATCAACAATTTGCATCCTAGAAGAGGAAAACACAAAGCTAATATAAGGTTGCAGGAAAAGTGCATCTGAGTTCTGTGGTGCTGCAGCAGGAAGATGATGGATAGAAGGGTAAATCCAACTGGAGCTTTCAGAATCTTGTTTGTAAAAATTAAGTAACATTAGATATGGACACAAGACTGAAATATATCAGAGCGAATGTGGATACTGAAGAAATATCTTTATGAGCTGTCGAAAGTGAAGTAAAAAAATAAATGTTTTTCTTAACTTGTGCCCATAAATCAGTGAATAAGATGTTGTAGTGACTTGGTTGCATGAGCAGTGCATAGCAGGACTTTGAGGAGATAACGTTTAGCACCTACTGGGACAATTCACTACATATCCAGGCAGAGGAGAAGTGTAGATCACAAGTGACACGCCCATGACAGGAAAACTGTTCCTGCCCACTCTTATTTTGAATTCATATACGTTCACTTCAGCCACCTTTATTTGAGAAGATTTAAATACTCCATCCTTCAGTTGTGGCTCCACAGAGGCCTGATTCACGTTTACTGGTAGCTGAAATGGAAGTGTTTACAATGGTCACCATCCCAATTGGGGGATCCCTCCACTTTTCTCCCGGCATTTGTTACCCTCTTATGTTCTCAATAGAAGCAGCCAATAATATATACAGCAGCATCTGATCTGCAACAGTTGTGGTTTATCACTCTGAAACCAAAGTGACTTCAGAAATTTCAAGACACGGGGATAAGCTCTGCCCTTTCTTTTCTAATAGCTCTTTAGTGAAGGTAGAAAACAACTTTAGCGTGCAGAATTGATACTGGGAACATGTCTTCTCCACATGAAAGAAAAACATGCAGGACCAACGTTTTGGAAAGCTAAGTTGCATTTGACAGTTAGAAAAAGAGTTTTGTCCACAGTCAGAACAGGTAGGGAAGAAGGAACAGAAATACGCAGTCAGGCAAGGCAGAAAGGTGGTGAAGGATTATAAAGAAGGCAAGAATGACAGTTTCAGCTCTAGGTGAGCAAGTCTGAAAGGTAAATAATCTTATTTTTGGCATCATAGGTGTTTCAGTCATCATTCATCACAGAAAGACTTCAACAAGAAAGCACCCTATTGACTCTGGCATGCATTTTGGTTTTCCCAATGAGGAGACCAGAGGGAGGTAGACTTCCTCACTCCCAATGAGGAGACCAGAGGGAGGTAGACTTCCTCACTCATTAAAAGAGGAGGAGAATGACATCAGAATCTCCAGAGATACTCTTGGAGAGAGTAATATCTGCTACATCTGAATGACTTCAGTTTTTCCCACCTTCTGGGCAGTGCAGCAGATCTCAGTACATCACAAACCTGCACAAGATTGCTATCTGAACACTGCAAGTCTCTTCCCTCCAGGTGCCCATCTCTGTCCAACTTTTGCATTTTCGTGTTCAGGCCTCCTGGCGTAAGGAAGGAGAATTGAGCCACGGGATGGTGCAGCACCTGAGAGCTATCAGACATTCCCATCTCTGTCTCAGGACCTGCCAGCACTTGCTCCTCAGAAAATGAGCTTTGGGTTATATTTAGATATACGTGCAACAAAGCAAGGTAACACGGCAGTTACTCTTCTCAAGCAATTTTGTTAGGAAGCGTTTGCATGAGAGCTAATCACACAAACACGGCTAATGGCTCTACCACCAGTGTAGAATGCTCTGATCAGCTCTTTGCAGGCAACTGGAGGAACAGCAGTGGGTGCGCCTGAGCGGTTTGGCCCCTCTCTTTCCTCCAACAACAATTTCCAGAGAGATTTAGGTGAAGGTCCTTACGTGCTGCTTTCCCATGTACATGTTCCCCGGGTACGAGGTGCAAATACTTCCTGCAATGACGATTACACTCTTATTACAATGTTACACCCATGTCTAACTTGTCCTCAGTGACTTCACCCTTATGCAAGTTACAAATGTAATAACTCTTGTGAACAAACCGGCCAGCACAGTTTAACAGCTTTTAACCCTTAGCTAAGCAATTTTAAAGTGGTACCTACAGAACTACAAACTCGTTGAAGTTCTTTGCCTACATAATATCAATGTTGCTGCTGATGTTGTTAAGATTCCTAAATGTAATGAGGCCACCAAGAGCTTTTTAAGTCAGTGTACAGCTAAGCATCTGCAATGGGCAAGACAAGGAGGGTAGTGCAGTGGGTGACTGTCCCTGCAGATTCAGCTTCCTGGAATGTTGCACACTCCTCCTTGTTCTTTTTGGTTTAAGGATGGGGCACTTATTGAGGCCTCCCTTTATCATCATCATGCCGTGTCCTTTTGGAACTGAAAATTTACAAATCTATCCAAATAGATACAGATATGGCAGTAGAAGTTTCTTTTCATGGGGAAGGGAAAACAAGCAGCAAAAAATCTGGAATCAAAGGTTTTCCCTGATGCAATGGGGAGAAAAGATGCACTATGCTCCATACCATAGAGAACTCCCCTGCACACATTTGACTATTTGACACATTTTTACTTTTTTCACAGACAGTCAAGGAAACATCGTATCAGCCAGCTACCAAAGAACAGAATTATCATTGTCTTAAAGTACTTCGGTCTTTTAAAACTAAACTAAGGTATTTGACAAAATGTCTTCTGGACCACCCTGGCATGCTTTGAATGTAGCCACCAGCCAGAGACTGAGAATATCAGGCCTTGAGGCAAGCTGTCTGTGACAGGTAAACAAGATTAACAGAAACTTGAACAATTGTGGCTTCTCCCCAAAATCCTTCCCACGTGGATTGACAGTGCCTCTCTTCCACCCACATTTAATATCAGTGAATGCCACCAAGAAAATGTGCCACCCACTGTCCCTTCAGAGCAGTCTCTCCAGCAGCACTGAAGCCAGACTGCTCTGAGCAGCAAGCAGCCCACACAGAGCAATGCTGAGCAACCCGCTCTTCCACCCCACAACCCCCTGGCATTTCTGCACACTTTCTGCTCTCCACCCTCTTCTACCTGTGTGCCTGTGCTCCCTGTGGTTAAGAGCTGTAAGAGCTGCACTGGTGCTAGTAGGGTACAACATGACCCAGATGCTCCCTCACGTCCGTCCAGAGTTGTGTTTGACAAGTCAAGGGGTGACCTTGAGACCGTACACACATACAGAGCAGGTCCATAGTCCATAAGACATGGCTTAGTGGGCAAGGTGGTGATGGATTGATGGTTGGACTAGATGATCTTTTTCCAACCATAATGATCCTCTGATTTTGAGATCTCTCTGGCTGGAGCCGCCCCAGGTGGCTGATGTGACAAAACATGGGGTGTATTTTTTTGTCATTTTTTTTGTCATGCAGCCAGTGACAGTGGCACCCAAACACAATGCAGTCTGGGCACTTGTAACCACTGAGGGCCGAAACACTGTCACATGCTGTGGTTTACTGAGAAGTGTGGGGGTCAGTCAGGTCCTGACTCCAGATAAGGCTTTGTGTCACCATTCTAGAGCAGGACTATCATCAGGTAGCACCTGGATGCCAGCAACATAGGCTGGCTTTCTTCCATTAGAAATCAGCTAAATGATTTTGAAGAGGTATTCAGTGCTATGATGTAGCTTATGTTTTACAGCCTGTGCTTCCCAGCTGTGCAAGCCATGTGCTGCTGCCAGAGGGGCACAATCCCTGGTTAGGAGATCACCCAGACTAATAGGAACACCAGTAGGAAGGGCTGGAGCTCCTATATTCCCACAGCTAGCAAATGAGAGCAGACGCTGAGTGCTTCTGCTGTCAGACTGTTAGGAACTCAGGAATAGGGCATCATAGGCAGTTAAGGATATGTGCACAGGGCATGTTTGAGGCCCAGTATGTTGTGATTTCCTATATTTTGCCTGCAACATAGTGTATGCACACTAGTCTGAAAAAGTCAAATGTATTAGGCTTAAATCTTTTGCCTTCATGACACAGGGCTTTTCTAGTGGGATGTTTTGTTTTTCTTTCTGTTTTTAACACTGAAAAAGCAGTGAAATTTTGGCTGATTTATACATGAAATGAGGAGCAGAATAACAAGCCTCACTTGCATACTGAGTTTAGAAGTCAGTAACACTTAACATTTGGCCTAAAGAGCAGCAAACAGGTCCAGCATTAAGCAGGTTGGAGCGGGAATCAGCCATCTCCAGCTGTATGGAGGCAGTAAGCAAAGAAAAGCCAGCTGGGTTTTTGGATTTACCCAAATTACAATAGGAGGCACCTGAAAGGAAGGGAGCATGGTCACAACATCACACAGCTGTTGAGAAGAGGATCTGCTGATCATCGGAGTGATTCCTATGGTAAGTGTTCAGATTTAATGCATGTTCATTTCAATAAGCATCTTCTGGTGGGAGGAGGTAGGGATGGGGGGTGCAGGAAGAGAGAGAAAGAAAAAAAAGACAAAAATAATTTAAGCTAAATAGTGATACCAAATCCTAAGGTAGATGTTTAGTTGCTGCTTGTTCTATTAATTCTTTGGAAGAAAAAGGCCTTGGTATGCTTGAGTGTACAGAAAGGATTGCAAGGGTTCCTGCTGTAAGCTGCATCAGTGCATGAGGCCAGAAACATTTATTTGCATTTGATACTAAGGTAAGGAATAATAATAATAATAATAATAATAAATGGAGGAGGAGAGGGTTCTTGTACTTAAAACCAATTAATTTTGAGTTTATTATCTTTTTTGTTTACAAGATGTGCTTGTTCTTTTAACATGGTGATTCTTGAAAATTATTTTAGCTCTGTGCTTTTGTCTTTTCCTTCCTTCTGGGTTGACAGTTATTGCCTGATGCTGAGGGAGACACTTGCTCATGCTCCTTAACTTCAGTATTGCGTACTTGCAAGGAATAGAGGAAGAACACAGGGCTTAAAGGTGGAACGTGATTCTGCAGATGGTGGCCTCAGCCTGAAGTGGGAGAAATGAATGGGCAAGGTGAAGAAGGCAGCCTTGAGATTCTGCTGTCCTTTGTCATGGATTCTAGATAGAGACTGATGTTCACAGCACTGTGTCAACTGAGTCATTCACATTAAATTTTCCTCTGATCCAATACCCCATTGTTGACAGAGGCCATGAAAAAAAGTACAGTAATTGATATCACATCAAAATGATCTGTTAGCTCCTGGTGGTTTTTTGGATAGGTACTTCCCAAGCCAGAGACCCTCAAGTGGATTTTTCTCTCACCTTCATTGACCACTTTGGGTCTTAGCATCTTTCATTTCTCATGCTTCAGGATGTGATTTAGCATGACAAGTAACAAAAGGCTCAAGCACAGCAATGGTGAGGGTGGGAGATGGGCAAATGGGAGACTGGTATGTATACATACTACATGGAGTATATCCCTTTGATCAAGGAGGGTCCCAATTATATGTATTTAAGTGTCTAGTCTGTGTGCTGCAATACCTGGAAAACACTACTTCTATGATGCAGATAAAGTGGGATAAAGTAGCAATGAGCACAGTGAGTGAGCTTTCCTTATGGTTGAAGAAATTGAGGAGAATATGCCGAAAGGGGAGGGAATGACAAGGACAGAGAAAAATCAGAAGCCTTCAGGACCCAACAGAGAAATTCTTTACATAAAATATGCAAGCTACAAGATGCTGGGGAAAATGATTTCACCATTATATTTTTAGATCTCGTCACTCGCACAGACCTTTCCTCTTGGAGTTACTACAACTGAGCAAGAACTAAATGACAGCATGAGTGAAAGAAGGGCTTGCTAGGGTTCATGAATACCTCCCTGAGCCTTTCATTTTGGTGGGTGTTCCTCGGTCTCTGTGTACTGATATGTGCATCATGGTTGCAGTCACACTCTCCATATTGGAACAGTGCTGATCTCACAGCTGCACTGGGGCCTTGAGCTACAAAAAGGAGCCTGGTGAGGGCAACCAGCAGACACTGAGGTAGGCTTTACCTGTTGTGATGGTTGATTTTCAGTGTCATGAAGTTGCATCAGAGCAACAGAGAAATGTTGTCACTGGCATTGTACACTGGCAAAAGGAAATCATGGAGGAAAAAAAAGTGCTCATCCAGTCAGAATGATGTCAGATCTTTGTAGCCATGGAGGCACCTCACATATGTGCACAGCTGAAGTAGCCACCTTTGCTGCCCATTTGATATGCATGACTAACTTTCATCCAATTAGTAACAGTGATCCTAGAATGACATAAAATCTTTTCAAACATGACCAGAATGCCTGTGACTCAATCTTAAACAACACTTCAGACACAGGAAATAAAACAGAGGGCCTTCTCCAGTTCTATGTTGGTGATGCTCATCATGATCGCAATGCTACAGTCTGAGAATCTGGTTGAGCGAAGAGGAATGTTGTCTTGAACAACATATAAAATATATAAAATATTCGATGTATTATATATCTTATATGTTGTTCGACATATGTAACAAAGCTTTTCTAATTTGTATATACTGGTTATTAAAACATAAAAAAAAATAGGGGCAACAGAAATATAAAACTAACCGGTTGGACACAAGCCCTAGAAGAAGATTCACACTTCTCTCTGGTCTGAGATAAAGACATGAAACTGGGTTTGATGCTTCAAAGTGCAAGCAATATGTGAGCATAAGTCTATAGAGGTTACCCCAAGTTAATATTCTCAGGCTCATGTGTGTCAAAGTATTGTAACATTGTCACTTATGCAGGGAAATGGGCCACCCTCCATGCAGAGGATGCCATTCATCATGGCATGAATGACAAAAAGCTACAGCATCAGACTGGAGGAAAATGGCTGTCCCACACTTGCCTCGTACAGCATGCAGGATGTTTTAAATGCAGTATTTCAGAGAAACTGTCACCTGGAAACACAGTGGCTCACTGGGAAGTGACCTTCCAGAGACTGCTCTAAGGATGCACACTGTGTACATTAAAACAGCCACTAAGCTTTTTTTTTTTTGTCTTTTTTTTTTTTTTTTTTAAACTTTCTGCCTTCATTTGTGAAGCAAGTTCAGGACTGAATAATTTAGGCTGTATGCATGAACAACAAAAACTGTTTCCAGCGAATAGCACTCATGATGAATATGTACCCAAACTAATGGGCAGGTTATTATTTGTATGTAGTTCATTATTATTTTTACAAACAAATGCAAGATTAACGTAGACAACATTTCAAGTCTTTAGTTCTAGGTGCACAAAATTAGATTGCTTTCACCTCCAGTCGCACTCCTTGTCTTGATGGGTACCCAGGTGAAAAACAATGCACGTAATAAAGAGGAATAAGTATTGCTTACACCACAGTCCACGAGAAGCAACAGAATTATTTCCTAAAACAAAGGGTCATATTACTATGAAATCTTTTAAAGGAAATGCCTAATCACCAGATTCTACTACAAATTAAATAATTTGGGCAATATATGACATAGAAAACAGACTCCCTGAAGATTTTGTCAGTGAAATATGAAATCAGACCGTAGCTGTAATTCCATACAAAGCAAACACGCCATTTTTTCAAGACTAGACTGCCTAAAAAGTACACTGGGTGGGCCTCTCTGTCATTTCATTTGTGATAATTTGAAAATAAAATACAAAAAAATCACAAAACTCTCTGAAATTAAAAAAGCTGGATAAGAGTAATAAAGCCATACAATATAAATATTAAGTAGAACAATAACAAAGAAAGGTAAGTAATCAGAGTATTTCAACGTATCAATTTACTAACGTAAAAAAAAAGCACAAGAATAACCCTCATCGAGACACAGAGCTGGAGAGGAATGAGGGCGGAGCGCCGCATCCCCCTCAAAGCGGAAGATGCTGGGAAAGGGAAGTTAAGGGAGGAGGTGGGACGGAGCGGACGAACGAGGCTGAGACCCTGGGGCGGTGTCAGAGAGCGAAAAAGTGGAAGGCCCCGCCCGCCGGGGAGGAGGACGCGGTTGGCGCTCCCGCCCCC